CCTGCCATCATGGTGGAGCACGATATGATTCACACCAGTTGCAATACACATTGTGCAAGCAGTTAGTCTTCGGCATGCAATGCAACTTACATGCTTCCGTCTTGCTGGAAAGGACATAGACAGCAACCGGATAGGCTTCCCCCCCGTCGGACAAGCTTGGTGGAGGCATCAAAGGTGTCGTTTGTGAAATGTCGACCCCTTCGGGTCCTGGTGAAAACGCATGGTATTTGGATGTTTTGTGAGCTCTCCCCGCTGTGTCACCGCTCCTGTTTCACTTGCCTGGAGAAGTAGGTCCCGGAGATCCGCTCGAGGCGATGCACAATGACGTAGGGGTTCCCCCCGAGGATGAAGCCACAAAACCTCGGTGCATGGCTTCCAAGGCGTTGCCTTGAACTCCAAAGGTACTTGTAGAGTCCAAGCCTTTGAGATTCTGGCACTCGCACTTCTTGGCACAATTCCTTCCTTGCTCGAAGAAGAAACAAATTTGGATGCTATTCCTGCCCAATAGTGGGCTTCAACACACATGTTTGTTCTTCGGAATTGACAGCTCGACTTCAAGCCCACATGACCTGGGTGCGTGTCCATCTGCCAAGACACTCCGTCAACATGGGGAACTTCCCGACCTCCACGTGCACCTGTCGGTTAACGACCACGGAACCCCATGAGATGATGCTGCGATCCCTATGGACTCACCACATGGCTATCAGGCCCTGGGATCGGCTGAAAATCCGCAGTCAAGTCCTACAATCTCACCGACTGCACCTCGTGCTATTTTTGGCTGCAAAAACAGCCATCTCTTTTTTTGCTCATGAAGTCCGAAGGTTGTAAGTTGTGCAACAAGCATTACCCAGATTCAACTCACAAGTTGGTCTAGCTACTTGCTTCGGAGAGTCTGAATAACGCGGCGACTTGATTTTGTTCGGGTAGCAGCTTCTTCCTCTTCTTCCTTCTCCGAAGCGTTCCAAGTGCATCACTAAGTCAAGAAACAACTCTCAAGTTATTGCAGTGCCTCGCGAGGCCAACAGCCCTCGCGGTTGACTCTGGATAAGTCTGCCTAGAAGAGGCAATCTCTACCCTGGCCTTGAAGGTGCAATTTGTCTGCAAGTCCCGGCACAGAACTGGCACAAAGGCAGTGGCGCACCAATTGCTATGCTTGCGCAAGGCAAGGTCCGGGGTGTCCTCGCTCTCGACATAGTACCTGAGAAAAGGTCTGAGTGTCAAGAGTGCAAGCATTGCTTGCTTTAGTCCTTCTGGACCATCGTGCTTTCACGTGATCAACATTCCAGTGCAGTCGTTCTAAGAAAATGTTTTTTCTTGGCTCTCGGTGTGGTGCGTTCCGGTTGAGGCTTAGGTCAGCGTGCATGGTTTCTTCCTCTTAGGCAGATTTGCAGCTTGCTGGTGGAGATTTTCATCCATGCATCAGGCATTGGGCATGCCATTTCTTGCATAGGAGAAACTGCAGATTGCCTTTGGTAAATGTGTCATGAAACAGAGAGCGCTGCCGGAGTCTGAAGTTGAGGGCGGGGATCCAGGGCTCATGTGGCCGTACCTGACAATTAGCTTGCATCTCATTGGTACCAACCCAAACGGGTTGGATAGAATGTCCTGTGCCAAAGAAAAAGCTGCCGACAGCGTTCGGGCTCAGTGCATAAACCGCCAAACCTCTCTGAGATGCCTCCATCAAACCACAGGAGCACCCCTTCATTGCCTTCAAACAGAAGCACAGCAAGTCAAGCACTGTGGTTGCGCCACTCAAGGCAAGTGTCCTACGAGCGTTCTCAAGATGTACGCATGGCATTGAAAAACCAAGACGCAACTCGTCCACCAGCAACTGCCCGGAGAATCTTCGCGCCTGGTCCCGGCCGACGACTGGAATCATGGAATGCGCTTCAAAAGAAAAGCATCCTGTCAAGATCCTGAGCCTTCGCAGAGCTTCGTAAAGTTTGGCCCAGCATTGCGCAGCTTTCTGCCAATGCTCGATTCTGCGGTTTCAATATTATTCAATATGTGCCAGGACAGGGATGCTCTTGGATTTAAGCAAAGGAACTCCTGACTCATTGAGAGCTTTAAAAGACTGCTCTGCTGGGGTACATGTCCTTTTTTCAAATGATTTCCTCCCAGCCTCATTCCAGTCAAACAAGACAGCTAGTTCACCCGTTTCGACAAGTTGCAACCATGCTGACCAAACTATCTGAAATACATGAAAAAGGACATAGCTCATCGCACCAACCACCACCCTGGTTCCCTTGATGTAATAGTCCGTCCCTGTTCAGGGCCCTTGTGATCAGGAGGCGTCCGTTGAGCACGTCTGAATGGACCCAAACCCTTGGAACCCATAGCTCATCGCCTGCAGGCCCTGCTGCAGCTGCGCCAACCGAACCGCCGCAGCGCCCCCGATCAGCTCCAAAGGCTCGAGGTTCCGGAGATGGGCCTCCTCCTGGCGAAGCGAGTGCTGCGGGAGGAGGGAAGGAGGGGACGTTGGAGGGTGGAAGGAGGGGAGGAGCAGCAGTTGCAGCCCTCTCCTGCGAGATGAGCACGATGCTATCATCGGTAAGTCTCACCTCTCCTTGCATTTTCCTTGGAGTTTGCGGCTCTCGCAACATCAAGTCACCCGGCGCACAAAGAAAAGCCCAACCCCAAGACAGCATATTGATAAGCTCCCGTCCGGGGCCTATCTAACCGCCGTCCGCCGCTTGATGAAGTGCTCTTTGGATAGAGGATGTCTAGCAATTGATTGGAAGGCGGGCTCACTTCTTCTGGGAAGCAGTCACGGGAAACTCCCTCAAAGTCTGAGCGGATTTCAGCATTGGAAATTAATTTTGGGCCTTGGCTCCACCAGTACCACGGCCCAAGTCTCACTCTACTGTGGTAATGTCGGTGGGCACCCCGAACAGATTTGAGCCAAGCTTCTCCAACTCCTTGCCGAAGTTCTCTCTGAGAAAATCCAGGAAGGAATCTCTGTGGCCTTGCAAAAGATGCGTTGGCCGCTGCTCTTGCTCTGCGGAAGAACTGACGGGCAAGCTGCCTGGCCAGCCCACCTGCACGCCATTGGGAAAACGCCACACAGTGTCCGCTTTCTGCTGCTTCTTGTGGTCCCTGATGAAAAATAAAACAAAAGGCAGTGCTCTGGCTGATGGCTTGCATGCCCACATCGTCTGGAAGCAGCACAAAGCACTCTTCTTGCCATGGCTTTGCGCAATAACGTCCCTGATTTCCACAAACACTTTGGGCTCATGATTCCGACATGTTTCTCAAAGGTTGCACGAGGGGCCCGAAACCGTGGGCTAAGGGCGGGAGATCTCCGGACTCTGATCCTTCCGGGGGAAAAAAAAAAAAGCCACGCGACGCGCCTTGTGGTACCACTTGTTTCTCACCAGGTGGGGTTTTGCCAAAGCCTTCCGCTTCGTATGCTTGAGAGCTGGCGCCAGAAGCGCGCCCACAAGGCAGGGAAGTGCATGGCTATGATGGCTGCTCCTTGATGCATAGTAGGGTTGGGAAAACCCCTTGTTCACAACATTCAAATCCACTGAGCCAAAGCAAAGGTGACACGCTTAAGCTGACCCTGGATGGTTGTTTGTGTGTGTGATCAAACCAAACTAGCGTGCAAAAAGAAGAGCTATGCGTGTCTGCTTGGAGTGTCTGCTGGCCAGTTGGCTAACTGGGTGCAGGGCCGGTTTATCTTTTGACCATATGAGAATGCAAATCCAGGGCACGTCCTTGCAGGCCTTCACTCAGTTCTTGCTTTCATCTTTAGCCAGGGGCTGATTACTTCAGGCGCAAGCAAAACACCGGTCAAAACAGGGACAAATCAAAGAATTAAAGGCAAGCCCGACTCAAGGACTGGATAAAAAAGTCTGGGAACGTTGCTGCTTGGCAAGCAAATGGGCACATATCAGCCGCGCTGCGCTGTCACCTTCTTTGGCAATGCTCTCCACGTAGCACAAGCTGGTGCGCGGCTTCTTTCAAGTACATGTCGAGGAACACTGGGCTCCAACATGGCATGGCACGAGACCAATGCCCTACGAAAAACTACGAAGCAGCTTGGGACTTGCCGGTGGTAGAGCAATCAGAGTCTGTCACTTGGGGTTTCAGCCTGCCGTGAAAACACATCAAACCCGTGAGACTTGCAGTGAGCAACTTCAAAGTGTTTGTTATGAGCCAAAGCTTGCGGATTCGTCACCTCAAGGCTCTCTTGAACAAGTGGGACAGTCTCACTTTGACCACGATTCAAAGCAAAGAGGCTGAAGCTTGCAGCAGTATCCATGTAGAGGGTAATCAGCCCAAACAACTTCGCGGCAAAACAAAGAAGTGCTTGTGGCTGCTTGTACTCCTCTTTCTGTTCAACAGCTTCTCCATCTGACTATCCCAGTCACGGCTGCCCCCGCCCTCTTCCAATCCTCCGCGCACGCCCTCGCCAGCACACGCGCCGCCGTCTCGGAGACCACTTCCGCCGGCTTCGCTTCCTGTCGGCTTTGCACCCAGAGTATTCTGGTTCTTTCACAGATAGCGAACACACGAACGCACGCCTCCATATCCAAAATTTGCATCACCCAACCGCAGCCTTATGTTGAACCTGCATGGAAAGCAACGACGCTAAACCAACATGGTGCTGCGGCCTACAGATTACAGCAAGGAACATGGATTCTGCTGTTATTGCGGGCACCGTGCAGCGGGAGCGATTCGACACGCACGAATGGAAAAGGCTCCAAGGCAATACGACCGACTGGAAAACCACAATATCCACACAAACCTTGCCCTTTGAACTGAATAGCGTCCAAACACCGGGAAGTGGCCACAGTTCGGAAAGAATCACGACATTATGCCCTTTGTAAGCATGTGTACAACTAATGGTTTTATGTTACTACATATAAGTGTATACATATATATATATATATACAACCTTGCAATCGTTACTGTATATGAACTCAATACGTATCAACACTACTTCAAATGTGGCAAAATAATATTCATGTGTATATGTATATATATTATATATATATATATATATTGTTTACAGCTGTGCATGTCTGCCTTCATCGCATACTCTTACAAATATTCAAATGTATCTCACTAATTGACATGTTGTCCAACCAAGTTGTTTTTTGTTTATGTTCAGTATTATAATTATAATGATTTATGTGGAAATATGTATTTATCTGAAAATATGGCACGCTCGCCCTTGTTCAAAGCCTAAATGTTGCAATATATTCATCTGTGCAATGGTCTACGTCAGGAAACAAACAAATTCTCAATATCACCTGGACGCCCCTGCTTTTCTTTTCGATCAACCAATAGAATCCGGATCGATTTCAATGATCGCCATATCTGCAAAGTAAGGAAGCTTGTCAGCCAAATGCATCCTGCAATCTTCCAAATTGAAGCGAGTGCTCACTACCAAACGAAAATCTGGCTGAAGGGAAATTCCAGCTTCCGGGAACTGCCGCTGAACCTCATCACTGTTCCACCTGCGTGGCCCCCCAAAGACTTCAGCCGGAAAGACCTTCTCCACACAGAAGCGCCCCAAATCACAGGCAGCATCGCCCATACGAACGTGGAGAGAAAGACCAATTCCGTGGGTCTCCATGGCGGACAGGAGCTGGTCACGAAGCATGTCTGTGGCTTCTTCCACCTTTGTCTAAGCTGTCAAATTTATCAAAGCTTTGCCAATAGAGTTGGCTTAACCAAACACCAAACTTGGCTTCAGCGGAATGAGAATCAACGCAGAAATACTTGGCCAAGCGAGCCACGGTTTTGTTCTTCTTGATGAACACTTCGCCGATGAGTTGCTTCCCATCGATCAACCCTTCACAGGAGTAGAGCAAATACCGTTCCACCTCCTCCACAGGTGAGAAAATGCATTTTGCGCTACTTGCAGCCCCACCACTCCACCAAGCTTCCCCAGGCCACATTCAGACATATCATACAGGCATGCCAATGCACCAAATAATTCTGGTCGCTTGTTGTCGTCTGTATGCTCTCCTTCCTGGTATGCCTATTTTCTTTTTCTGCTTTGTTTGTTGTTGCCTGTGGCTGCCTATACACCGTCGCATTTTCCTCTTTGTGTGTGTTTGTTTGTGTGTTTGTGTGTTGCTGTGCGTTGCTGTCGCTGTTGCTGTAGGTCTTGTGGGTGCTGCTGCTTTTGTTGTGTTTGCTGTTGATGTTGTTTGCTGTTTTTTCTTCGTTGCATCGCGCAACATAGCTGTCCTTGTCGATGTTGTTGTCGCTGCTGTTGTTGTTAATATTGCTGTTGCCATTGTTGCTCTAAAAAGGGACAGTTGCGCAAGACCAATGGTAAAATGAACCAGGCCAAAACCCTAACGAAGCAAGAAGATAAGTTTCCAAAAAGGTCTCAATGATCCAAGTAGATGCCATTGTCACAACACTTCATGTGTTGTCTTGGGGCCTAGCTGGGGACGGGCGCGGGAGACAACAGCATCTTTTTGAAGGGGTGTAAGCAAATTACAGGGTCTCGAACCACAAGGCCGGAGGATGAAAATATCTTGGTAGACTACGGCCAAGTCGTACAAAGACAACAATTCTATTTGCAAGTTGTTTTTTTCTACATGCTTGTTTATTATTTTTGTCGTGCATTGGTCACCCCCTTACCACAAGGCACCCCGACCAAACAAATTCATAAGCAAATTTATAAGCACAAGATCTCCCCACTACTACTACTACTGCTACTGCTACGCTGCTACTGCTACTACTACTACTGCTGCTACTACTACTACTACTACGACTACTACTACTACTACTGCTGCTACTACTACTACTACTATTACTACTGCTATTACTACTACTACTACTACTACTGCTGCTGCTGCTGCTGCTACTACTACTACTACCACTACTACGACTACTACGACTACTCCTACTACTACTACTACTACTACTACTACTACTACTACTACTACTACTACTACTACTACTACTACTACTACTACTACTACTATGATGACTGCACCACGACTACGACTAGTATGATCTACGACTGGGACTACTGTGACTGGGAATACTACGACTGCAACGCCATGACAAGGGGCACAAAGAAGATGCTGCTGTACAAGCCTGTAATCGTTGGTTGTACCTTGTCGTTGTTGTGGTTGGTGGTGGTCATGGTCCACTAAGTGGTGGTCGTGGTGGCGCCTTTTCTACGGAACCTGTTTGTTAATTTCTCGGCTCCTCCACTCCGTTGGCCACCACCAGAGGTACCTTGCCGAAGTCGTGGGCCGCAGACAGCGCCAAAGGCAGCTCCACCAATCGGACTTTCAAGGGCCAAAGAGGCTCTTCTCCGCTTTGGAGACTCTCCTGCAATTTGCTGAGGGCCATCACCGGCTTTGCAGCAGGAGCCTTTTCCGTCTTCTTGCGCCATGCGCCCAATCCTCGCGAAGCCTTCAGCTTTATCGTCTCTTCAGGGTCCCATGCCGCGATCAAAGCTTTGGTCTCCGCACTGCCGTGCTTGCCAGGCTCCTCGCCAGTGTTGCTTGCAATCGATTTGTCAGCGCCACTTTCAAGCAGGAGCTTCACAATATCATGATGGCCATTGTAGCACGCTCTCCAAAGCGGCGTACGACCAAGTTCATTTTGCGTATCTGGATGAGCTCCCTTGGACAAGAAAAATTCAACCAGCTCAACTTCTCCGTAACATGCTGCTTCAGAGAGAGCAGTATTTCCATCCTCATCCATGACGTCTATCTGAAGCTGCACTGCGGTTCCAGCATTGGCCTCCAAGCATGCGACAGCAACTGCAAGGTCACCATCATTCACTGCATTGAAGAGACGCTCTTTCAGCACTTCTGGCTTCTCTGTGAGGCCAACTGCTTGTGCAATCGCAAGCATTTCTTCGGCAGATGCCAACAGCTCTTCATCCACTCTTTCTAGCTGGCGCGCGTCTTGCACAGCAGCCTCCAGAACAGGTACATCCACCTCCTCAGCACTTGTAGCCACGCATTTCTTCAAAACCAGCTCGGTGGCTTGCAAGCGCAAGCGCTCTGCTCGCTGAAGCAGTTCAGCATCTGCCATAGCTGGCGGATAGGAACAAAATGTCCTTTTGAGAAGTTCGTATTGTGAGTGCACCAATGATTGTTTTGTGTTAATCTATCTAGCTCACTGCGGGCAGAACCATCCGAGCACTCATCCTCTCTTGTAGCGCTTGCACCCTGCAAAGCTGCAGGCAATACGAAAAGTGTCCGAAGAACGATCACATCGCTTGGCAAAGAAGCTCTCAATTTGTGACCGTGTGAGTTGTCGTTCCAACATGCACGGTCAGTTGTGGCGCACGTTATTTGTGGCTGACTTTTTTTCAAGTTGCCTTGGCAAGATGTGCTTTTTGCTCGACACGGAGAGAAGAGGCTTACGCGGCAATCCCGCCACCAAGAACACCTCACTGCCGACTCAAAAACAACCAGGCCTGGCCGCGGCGGCGCTTCAGGCCCATGGGGCCTCGCACAAGTCTGGCGTCCAAGGGAGAAGCCGTCCCCGTTTAAGAGAAAGGAGCAACGCCAGGTAGGACCAGGTAGGATATTTGGATCGTGAGCCTGGAGAGACATGGAGACAGTCTGAGCTCTTAGACTTGCAACGGTATGCCAAGCAACGAGTCGCATCGAGAGCCCTGTCCTTCTGGCAAGGGCTTGGGCTCCAGAGCCTCCCAGGCATTCATGGCATCTCGACGTCGAATGGACGGTTGTTTGGACGTCGAATTCTCCGGAAATCAGAAAGATGCCCCACACCGGGGCCTTCGTGCAAATGGGTCCTATGACTTCACAGCGCCCGTTGGCATTCGCTGCATTGCAATATCGGATCTCACTCGATGGCCTGATGGCCATGGCCATCCTGTGCCAACAGAAGAGCGTGGCACAAAGAAACGAAGAAGGGTCTCGTCCATGGCGACAATTCTGTTCAATTTGGTTGAAACAATGTCAAGACGCTGAGGAGACGCGGTGCACGTGAATACTGAACGAGCCCATTCTTCAAGGCTGCGCATGCCTCGGGCTCAGCCTCGATGGAAGCCAGCAAAAAGTCCAGGGATGCCTCCTGCAGCGCTTGCCGCTGCGTGTCCAGGACCGCACTTCGGTCGCCGGACAAGTGAGTGGGGGGAACTCATCACCTACTTGCCCCGGGTTGAAGATCCAGGGTCTGCGTGAACCTCCCCCCCTTCCCAACGTGACCAAAACGCCAGGATGGCTTAGTTGCCCACCGAAAAAGGGTTGGGTCGGGACCAGCCCCCATGAAATTGCATGTTTGACTGACCTAACATGAGCCTTGGATAACTTGTTTGCCTCCCGAAAAGGACAAAGAAACTTGGCTGGGCCCCCTGCATCACGTTGGAGCAGGGTTACCAACCCCCGCACGATTGACCTGAGGCCAGCACCCACATATCCTCCCCTCAGGCGATATCAAAAGAGGGAGAATAACCCCTCATACCGGACGGTCTTTCAGCCTCTGATGTGAAAATACTTCATCATGCAAAATTGCTATCTGCGAGCTGTCTCACAAGTAAATGCGCTCGGTAGCAAATGCAAGTAGGATCAGCAACTGTTCGACACAAAGCACCCCCCCAGGCTGACTGACATCCGTCCAGCAGCTCAGCTGCACATGGAGCATCCAAGCTGATGGAGTGGTAGATGCCTGCCGAGCAAAGCCAGAACAACAGACCCTGTGGAACGATATCCGAAAGCGCAGAATTGCCGATGCTGAAAGATGTCTTATGCGCACGCACGCACAGGAATATGTGCAAACATATTTGTCAATAAAGTATGCAAATATACACATGTGTGTGTGTGTGTGTGGCGTTGTCTGCCTGCACGCACGCGCGCACGCACGCGTCTGCCTGCATGCATTTCCGTATGTATATATATATATATGTGCTGATGTACATGTGCAGGTATGCGCATATGTACGTCTGTATGTATGTGTATATACATATGTGCATGTGTATGTGTACATGCATGTAAATGAAATGTGCGTAAATGCATGTATATGTATGTTTGCGCATGTATATGTGTGCATACTGTGTAGATGCATTTAAACGCAGTTACGTATGCATAATTGTACTTATTTGTGAATATGCATGTGTGCCTGAATGTGTCTGTATCTGTCTGTACGTCGCCGTATGTGTCTGTGTCTGTCTTTCTGTGTTTGTGTCTTTCTGAATGTATGTATCTATCTATCTATCTATCTATCTATCTGTCTATCTATCTATCTATCTATCTGTCTATCTATCTATGCAGCCGTGTATGCATGTATGTATGTATCTGCGTGTATAGATGGAAGGATGTGTGGTATAGTATGGTATGGTATGGTACGGAATGGTATTGTATGCTATGGTATGGTATGGCATGGTATGTATGTATGCATGTTTGTATGCATGTATGTACGTGTGTGTGTGTGTTTATGAGCATGTGTCTGTGTCTGTGTACGCTGCATATGTACACCCATCTGTATATGTATAGCTGGATGTATGGATGTATTGATGTGCGGACGTATTTCTATGTACGCAAATGAATAAAAAAGCTGAGTACGTTCGCGCATACGTATGCGTTGATGTATGTTTGTATACGCATACGCACATTCTCACACCTGCGCACTTAGACGTAAAAAAGAAACCATACGCCATAGTGACATTCTTACAGCATGGTTTGTTGCACATGCTTCAAAAGGGGAGACAAGGGTAACGAGCTGCCAAATTCCAATGTAGACGAAAGCATTGGATTGACCGGAATTGTTGCGTCAATTGCTCACTGAATTCGGTGTTGCCAAGCGCAAAGCTCGCAGGCATGTCATTGTTCTGGGTATTAGCAATTGCACATTCTCTGGTGATAGCTATTTGCTTTCTTTTCTATTGCGCATGGAAGCAATGCTTTCAAACAGAAATAAACTAAACACACCATGACAAATGAGTGACGTCGTATGAGTGACGCCACCCCCCCCCCCAGCCCGCCTGCCAACACCAGCTTGGCAGAGGCGGTGTTGTCCGCCTCGCGCAACGTGGCTTTCTGACTACCTCTCATGCCCCAGGCTTGGCAGCACCGTTTAGGGAAGCATGGAACTCGGGAGACTGACTCACCCAAACTCAACTTCAACGCCCTGGAACCTGATAGCCTGAATGATGGAAGCAACGCAAACGTTGCTCTCATGCGATCAAGGCATTTCACCTTCGTCCCAGTTCGCTGGGACTTCGTTCAGTTTGGACAAACCTCATCGCTGCCTCCGCCTGCCCCGCCTTGGCGGCGGAGAGGAGCCGCGGCAGCTCGCCCTGGGCGCGCAAGCAGAGCCGCGCCTCCGCGCGGCCCACCTGTCGGAGCCGCGGAGCCGCGGAGGCGCAGAGGCGCAGAGGGGGGCTGGACTCCAATGGAAAAAAAGACGAAAGGCCTCCGAACACAGAAATTGAGGTGTCTGAATGTCCGATGAAGAAAACAAGCCTCTTCACTCTACAGTACAGGGCGAGCGAAGTGGGGCTTGCTACTCCACTCACTACAGCAATAATTTGTTCAATACATATTTCAACATGGTGGCTTGAAATTGAGGACCTGACTTGCTGCGTATTGTTTGCAAGTGCCACAATGACTCCTGCAGCAAACAACTGCACTGTGCGGCGACTTAACAAGAAACCCGCTCATGCCAGGCTTTTTTGAGATGAGCTGTAAGTCAGTGCAAATAAACCGTACTTGTGCAGGAGGGGGCAGCAAACAGCAGAACCAAGGGTGATGCTTGGGGCCCATGCGAGCCTATAAACTAAAGGCGCGTTTGGGGCAGGGACTGCGCTATTGATTCAAAAATATGTTCCATCCAAATCTGGATACAATCGAGAAGGGAAGATTCCACCCCATCCACTTGTTTATGTGTCATCGATCAGACGACTATCGAGAATCGATATATCCTTCTGAGGCCTTTTTGGGAACGGTAGAAGTGTCAGATCCTTCCTGCCACCTTGATGGAAGCGTACAGCCCATGCAGTTGCCTACGCAACTAAAAACGAACTAGGTAAAGCTAACTTTTGTTATCAATCTACGTCTCCCAAATGTCCTCTGGACAAATGATCAACCTCCCTCAACCACCAAGCTCAAATACATGATCACTCCTCACAGATTCTGGCGTAGGTTAGAGGCAATGACCTCTGGTGTCATTCTGGGGCAGAAGAACCGTATGTTTGATGGTGCTGCTCGCTTCCCTGTACTAGACGGAAATGGCTGAAATAACAATGGGATCGAGTAGGACAATCATACACGTTCGGAATGAGCTCCGAAGTGTTGTCTGGCCGAAGAGCCGCGCAGCCAAGATGTGTCTGCACAGCTTGAGGCCGCCACGAAATCGTAGATCTCGTTCAACGACCTGTTCAGTCCGTGCAGTCCAAAACCAGCGAAAAGAGCGCTCATCTGGTCCCAAGCATGAGAAATATGTGTTGGTTTGCTTCGAAAGGCATAGACTCTTCGAAATGCATTGACTACACAGTTGGAGGGCCTGTGGAACCAGCACAATAGGGGCTGTCAGTTGTGAGCTTTTGATGGGCTGCACGCAGCTCAATGTGGAAGTCTGCGATGGAATTCCTTCAAAGCATGCGTCCTCAAAGACTCGCAACGAAAAGTGAGTTTGTGAGCGGCGGGAAAACAAAACAGGAAACATGTCGCACCAGTCTAAGTTTTCATGCAGACCACACCAGCAGTTGCAAATCGCCGAACCACCAATGATGTGCCTCGAACGAAGTTTTGGCCGTGTTTTACTGGCCAAGCATCCACAGGCGCATGCAAACCCATGAAAAGCCACAAGAATGAGAAGGACAAACAGAAAAATAGAGAGAGAGAAAGAAAAATGTGATTCGGAGAAAGGTCTGATCCTTCCTCAAAAGGAACATCAATCAGCACCAACATGTCTCTTTCGCGCCTCCAAGCGCTCCTTTCAGGCGAGAGCATGAAGGTGAGGCAGTCTAACGCAACCTGCGTCGGTCGAGCCAGGAAACGGTGCCGAGCATGTTGCCTACCTCCTGACTCAGAAGCCAAGGCGACAAAAATGCAATGGGCATGTTTGGATTTCATGTTGCCTTTCCATGGCTTGATCTCTAAAAGGTCGTGACAAAAGCGTCAGACAGCGGCTATAGGGAGTCTGAGCCCTAGGGCCTCAGCCTCAGATCGGACCCTGAAGTTCAGATGGCCCAAGCAAAGTGTCGAGGCCAGAAACACCAGGTTGATATGTTCAACCTGAATTGGTGGACGCTGAAGCGGGCTTGAGTGAAAACGCCAGGGCCCAATCACAACGTGGTCCAAATCCAAGAAAGAGAGAGAGAGAGAGACAGAGAGAGAGAGAGACATCCAAGCATCCCGAAGCACTCCATCGTGTGAGTGACTGGTCAAGCCAGTTTGTGTTGACAAACGAAAAGTCAAATTGAAAGCCACACCCCGAGACAAGTTCCGCGAGCCCTTGCCTCGCTGGCCGGCAGCTCTCTGCCGCCTGAGAACCCGCGGCAGGGCGCGCCTTTGCATCTGATCTTTTCACAGACCAAAGAGGTCTGGTGCTTCGTAGTTTGCAAGATCTCACGAGGTTTGGTGCACGAAGTTGGCAGCCCGCATGACCTACAGCCTCCCTTGGGTGCAAACCCAGAGCGCGCAAAGCCACGCCTCTGCTTGGCAAGGCACCAACCTGGACCTGGCCGGATACATCTCACATGGCAAACCTGTCTGACGGGTGGGTGCTGCTTACTCCCAACATCAACCCTTCCAGCAAGCTGATTCAGCCACAGGGACCGAAGTATGCCGGTCACAAGAGTGCGCTACAAGGTGCATCCGCGGACAATGTGTTTACCTCGCCTGTCCTCCTCGAGTCGAGCCCGACTTTAGCGAAATAGATGTATATGTGCATCCAGAAGAGTCAACTGCCCTGCCTTAAATTGCAACAGGCAAAATAATTAACATCTGCAGAAGCCAATTTGGCACATCGCCAGCTGGCTAAGCACGGAAGTTGCGCGAAGGGTGCATGACAAGTAAAATAGCCAAGCCAACTCGATCCTCACAACCGTAATACACTCACTAGTGCAAACAAAGCAATGGGTTGAGGATCGACTGCCGGCTGAGTGCAACCACTTAGGTTTCTGCCCCCTCCTTGTTGCTTCAAAAACATGTAATTGGACACCAGCACGAACATGCAAGGCAACCCAAGTCGGTCGCAACAGGCTTGATGGCCAACTTTGTACACATTCTGGATAGAATACGTGCTTCCCGGACTGGCGGCTAGCAAAAAACATTGCGCCTACCTGAGCTGTACAATTGATTAATTGTGTGAGAGTTACAAATGTCCCAGACCATTGCTGAGGATTGGATCGCATCTCACCCTAAGCTTTCAGGATCGGAGAACTCCCGTCGCAACGAGTTGTGGGCCTGCCCAACAAATGATCGCCTCATTCCTCCGTCTCAGCGCCAGATTTTACCGGCAGCTTGCCGAAGACCCCCATGTGGGCCAGGACATTCAGCAAGCTCTTCCTTGATTGCAATCGGAGTGCAGAAAAGCTGCTGCTGCATCCCTATGTCAAGCCAACTAATGCATCTTGTTGACAGTTCAATGGCTTCACATAGCTAAACAGCAACTGCACGCTGGAATGGCTGAGAAACAGCATTCGCAGCAGCCAAGCATCTTTTGCTTGGCAGTGAACTCCTGCGGGACGTTGGCTCAGCACACACAAACAAACTAACATGAGTGCATATCCAATTGGTAAAAACCAAGCACGACTCATACATACAGAGAGAAAGAGAGAGCGAGAAAGAAAATGAGAAAGAGAAAGAGAAAATGAAGAGAAAAGAAAGAAAGAGAGAAAAGGAGAGAGAGAGAGAGAGAGAGAGAGAGAGAGAGAGAGAGTGAGTGAGTGAGTGAGTGAGTGAGAAACGGGGATGCATGCAGGCACACACACACACACACTCACTCAGCAGTGCTGATTCTAAATGAATCAGCATGCAAATTCCAAACAAGTAAGCTGTCCTGGTGATGCAGAGAGTTGTGAATGTAGTACTCAAAGCCATGGTAGATAATATGGAAGTGATCCTTGCCACTCCGCCTTGCAATTGTGAACAAACAGCAAACCAATAAGGGTAAGGTGATTGCCACGGCATAGTCGAGGCACATGCTCCCTGAAGCTATACCAATATAGAGATCCCTAAAACAAGTACACGCTGTCCGATTGCCATCTAGTCCGTGGACTGGCAGAGTCAATCCATCTCTTTCTCAACGAAAAGAAACGTTTGGAGTTCGCGAATACCTGCAAATAAGTTGCTTCGAATCACCCCCCCTGTCAGTCAGCAAAGGTGCTAAAGTGCCCGGTACTGCCCAACGACTGCACGGCAAAGGAGTGCTGGCTCTTGTGTACCAAGTTGCTTATCCCTATCCGGATAGATGACATGTTTGTCGCCAATGTGCTTTGCAATGGCCGTAACCCACTTCATCACCTGCCGATGTTGGCCGCTTTGCATGCTCATGGATAATCCCACGAAAAGGCTGATTGAATGCTGAAAAAGGGACTTTGTGTACAGGGGTACATAGGTTGTGTGTGTGTGTTCATGTGAATGAACATATATATATATATTAATATATATATATATATTAATATATATATATATATATGTATAGTCCCCCAAAGGGCCTATCCTTCTACATACAAACTATGCAAAACCATACTGTAACAACAGGGGTGGTGAGCATGGCAGTGTTCATCATTTGACGTGGATTCCACCTTGTCGAGGCTGCAACATGTTACGCAACATGTTAGACAAAATGTTGCGCGAGATGCTGCGCAACGAGATGGATGCACTGACCAACAAGACTTTTGGGTGGGGGGGCCGGCCAGTCCTTGGGCAAGTTCGCAGCTCGCACTGCCAAATCCCCCCGCAAAAACTTATCAACCCCCCCCCCCCCGCCCAGGAGTGAGACAACTCACCAAGAGACTTTTATGCACCCAAAGAATACATTTGGTTTCATGGCTCCTGGATTCTCACAACATATCTCTGCCTCTTTCTGCCCTCTTTATATAGTCATTGCCATCTGCCACTTATGGCTCAAAGCTGATTTTCAACACGAACGCGTCGGAAGTGTGCTTGCATATGAGGTTGCCATCAACCCACCCACTCCAGATGTTGCGAGAAAACAGCCAAACCCTTGAAAGGATTCATTTTATGAATTGGCCTAAAAGTTTGTACGCTCTGTGCTGGTTTACTGCTTGGCATACGGATATTGTTTTGGGATACTCAATCTTTGACCCAAGGGAACACGATCCGAGCAAACACTTTTGTTGGACCTCTAATCCCTGGAAGTGTCCTTGGAACACCTGAAATCTAGAATCTGGAGATCTGAATCCTTGAAATGTCTACTGTTAGATTCTCGAAGTCTCATAATTTGGAGCCGGGAGTCCTCCAAAATGTCCAAATATATACTCCTTCCCAAACATGACTTAAGATTGAATAAAAATTAGTACAGAAGGATTTTGGTTGGGAAGTGAAAACAAATCCAGAAAGTATCTCATTCCCAAAAGTGATTTAGATTAGATGTGGCTTGAAAATATCCCCAGGATTTGGTCTGGAGTTGTTTTTTTCCTTTTGGCATCTGTTCAGCGATTCCATCTTCAGCTTTTTGGGCCAGCTTTCAGAGCTCGAAGCCTCAAAGAGCATCTTGCTCCCCAGGTGTTTTGCTGCGCAAGACCGCAGCGAAAAGAAGAGCAGTGCCAGACTCAAACAAAGCCAGACTTGAACAACCCGGGTTCACATCTGCCATGAGTAAGGTAACACTGTGTTTTACAGTGCTTCGGGCATGTGGAAGAAAGAGACACGCAGATATGACACTTGTCAAGCAGAAAGATAGAACGGGAGAATCTGGGGAGGGTGACCATGTGTATATATATATACATATATATATATCATATGTATCTCATATGTATCTCATATGTATCTCATATGTACATGCAGCAGCTGCTGCCCAGCCATATGCTTGTGAACCCGACATGCTGCGCCTCGCTGTGCCGGTCACGCCGCAAAGCCTCGAACTCTTCCGGGAGTTCGCCTCGGCCGCTCTAGCCAGCCATTCAACCCTGGAATTGAGCAACAACTCGACCAAAGCCCAAGAGGTCTGCCAACATCAACTGTTGAACTGACAGAAGGCTAGAGTTAAGCTGCAACACCGCACCGCCCACGCGCTGTATGATCCTGCGAGTGCTTTTGTGTTGTCTTGAAAAGCAGTCTTGAAAGCTGCAGTTTAGGCCAAAATGCTGAAACTGTGTATATGTTGATGTCAAATATCATTGCTAAACATCACCCGCGCGGCTCAAATCATAGGTCGGGATGTCCTTGGGATTGACCAGCACCAACTTGTGCTCAGTGTGCTCCTTCGGCTCCTCCACGTGGCGGTGGTGCTTCATCTTCGGCAGAATCTTACTCTGCCGGATTTGCAGCACCCAGGCTGGGCGTCGAGACGCTAAGCGAAGCAGGTTAGTGCGCAATTCCATTGCACCACAAGGACGCATGAAAGCAAACATCACAGGTTGGCACTGTTTCCAAACTTGAGCCACACCTTAGGTCAGCATGACGTGTCAATCATCACCGAATGACTGTAAGGCATCATTGCGAGCAATCGTCCTCGGCACGCAACAGCCAAACATGGCCGCACACGTCACCATCACGCCCTTCAGCTGGTCGGAACGTCCGCGGGGAGAATAAGCTCCGGCGATAAATCATCCTGCACATGCTTTGGAGCTCACAAGACAACATGACACATGACATCAGTCAAACAGAATCATTGCCAAGAAACCTCAATGGCTACGTAAACGCCCCACCTGGCCTGGCAAAAATGGTGCTCGGACTGTTTGGGCCATTTGTCACGGCAACGCAACAACAAAACTGACCCTCCAAGCAGAGTGGCTCTGTATCAGGTCACAAAGGTCGCCATCCTTGGCGCAAACGACATTTGATGTAAGCCACAACGTGGTGGCATTGCCTTGAGACACAAAATGGTGCTTGCTTTCCTGGCTGGCACGCACAGCGGACATTGTTTATTTGCATCTAGTGGAAACTGTTTATATGCCAGGGACGATATAAATGAACTGGTCAGTCAATTCTTCTTCGTAGATACGAGGCCGAGGAAGGCAACATGGAAAACTGGCAAAGTGTTCGTAGAAACCACCCGGCGGCAGCAAGCAATCAAGCAATGGACAGCACATTTACAAACCGGTTGCATTTGTTTGTGGCAAGCACATGTTGTTAACACTTGTTTTTGCGGCAAACAGCTCAAATTCTGCTTTGGTCAAACATGTTGGGTTGCATCCTTGCTTGGCAATGAATGGAAGATTAGCTTTTAGGGTCTGGATGTCGTGCACAGCCCTTGTATCGTTGCCTCCCCTTGTCATTGAGCCATTTTAGTCTTTCTGTTCTGTGTCGCCATGGATCCGGTCTATTGGCGCCTCCACCGTATCCCGCAGGTCTTCGGACTAGAGCTGTGTCGATGACTGCGCGCTCGATCTTTCCCGCAGTTGGATGCGCTCTGTCGCTTTACTTGGTAGGGCGCCACATGGGTGCATGGTCGAGCTCCAATCTAATACTGTCTGGCGGAAAGGAGGACCGTGTGCTGCCTTTACTGTTCCTTGCATGCAAAACCAAATACTGTGCGGTTTTTTTCGATGCTCAACTACGGGTTCTCGTCACCACAGGGTATGGGGACCATGTCGTTCGTGGTCGCACCACAGCGCTTGGTCTGCTTTGGACGGTTTGCCTCAGCACCGCAGGGATGGAATCGTATATGGAGAGGCTGCTACCATATGGCAACGCCTGATTGCGCTTGCAGCAGGAAACCATTTGGTTGCCAATCGAGCGCTTTACACTGGCATTGTTGTCAGTTCTCTCACATATGTCGCGTCAGTGTCCCCGTACTGCCTGATGCTTAATCGCCGGTCAGCAACATGTACAAGTCGAAAAACCTAAGCGAACTGTACAAGAAGTGAATTAGAGACAATCCGCCAGAAGAGCAGAAGATCGCAACAAGGCAACAAGCCAGTAGGCCAATCACGCAAAGACTCTGAAGAGCCCACCATGCAAGACCACGCGCACGTCCACACGAAATTGTTGCTAAGCAGCACATCCGCATGGCGATCCCACATGTCATCTCAGCTAATCTACAGGGGTTGAGTGGACCCAGGAAAACAGAAACAAGGTGAAAGCCGGAGAACGAAGCGCCACAAGATCATACATTCATCAAGCATGTGGTGAAAATGACAGCCGCGCCAATGCGGGCTAGTCGAAATATAAGGCATCGCCAGTGACATGATACAAAGCACGTGGTAAGCAAAGAAATTCACGTAGAGGTCAACCAGAAGCACGCCACAGTACGGAGACATGAATCCATGACCAGGCAAGCAAATAAAAGACTACCAAACGTGTTGTCATCAACCACACATCGGGAGCACCATCCAACGCACACCTGGCACTTGCTGCAAACGATCAACGCACTGTTGCCGGCGGCCGAAAGGCGGTGTCCCCGCTGTACGACCGGGCGGTGCGAAAACAGCCAGCAGCCGCAGCCTCCAGGTTCCAGCGGACGCGAGCTGTGGGCGTCGAGCCAAAGATCTTGTCGTTGAAGGGCGACAGGGACTTTTCTCAACGGTCTCCACGGCGATCTGGTGCTCGCGGCTGCGCAGCTGGGCAAAGGTCGCCTGCGCTTGCTGCTCTTCTCCAGCACCTCCCGGAATTCAAGAAGTCCGGTCCAGGGTGTGGGAGAGGTTTTGCCACCAAAGTCACTATGGAGCCTTGCTTCCGGAACAGCGCAAATTTGGTTTCTGAAACACAGCGCTCAAAGTCATCGTGTTAGTCACGCAGTGACGAGGCATCCAGCATTATCGTTTCTGTGAAAAACTCATCGTTTCTGTGACAAACTCATTGTTTCTTTGACAAACTTGACTTCTTGCGACAAACTCATCGCTTCTGTGACAAACTCCTCGTTTCTGCATCGTCTCAGCAAAGCAGTGACGCGAACTCATCGTTTGACAAGCTCATCGTGTCGTTTCTGTGACAAGCCCGTTAGAATCTTGATCACTGCTTCAATCCGAAAGGGAACAAGCGGCAAAAGATAAAAGAGTACGACCGACAAACATGTGCGCATGCTCTTTTTCTTTATAAGGCGTTGCTTGGAAGTAAAGGCTCGGGGGTGCAGGGGGAAAGACAGCGCGTGTCCTTTCCCCGTGTCTGCACCCCTCTGCGGAGCCTTCTCACATGCCCCCGTGGTCAACAATGCGTGTTCGACCAGGCGCCAGGTGTGTTACCTGTGAGGCGTGAAACAATCGAAGGCATTGGTGGCGGCAGGATGCAATGTGTGCATCCGGCTGGCGTGCCATGCGGCACACGGTGCCAGGTTGAGACCTGTCGAAACAGTCATGTGTCGGCAGGATGCAATGTGGCATCCGGCTGGTGTGCAATGCGGCACACGGTGCCAGGTATAGACCTGTCCAAACAGTCAATGCATGCCGGGGCATGCTGTGCACAATGCCTCCGGGGTGTCAGCTGCGGCTGGGCCCTGGAGGTTGCAATGCGTGCATCTGGTTCGCGCGCAACGCGGCACACGGTGCAAGGTTGAAACTTGCGGCCACTGCATGCAGGGGCATGGTGTGCACAGTTTCTCTGGGGCGCCAGCTGCGGCTGGGCCTCGAGGATCCATCTGAGTGGTGAAAGGGTGGGAGGGCGGGCGCAAAAAAGGGAGGGGTAAACCCTCACGCATGACCCTTAGGTGGCTTGAAGCAGAAAACGGAAACGCGTCCGAAGATTCGATCAAGATTAAAACATGAGGGAAAAGGAAAACCCTAAACGTTAGAATCTTGATCACTGCTTCAATCCGAAAGGGAACAAGCGGCAAAAGATAAAAGAGTACGACCGACCAACATGTGCGCATGCTCTTTTTCTTTATAAGGCGTTGCTTGGAAGTAAAGGCTCGGGGGTGCAGGAAAGACAGCGCGTGTCCTTTCCCCGTGTCTGCACAAGCAAACGGCCTAATCTATCACCCCCTCTTCAGAGCGTTTGCGAAGCACTCTTATGCTCCGGTCGCCATGGGGCGTCGGGCGGATGCTATGACAGCATGCATTTGTGGGGCCAGAAATCATGCGGGCGAAAACGAAAGCGAGCTTGCGGCTTGCTGTCGAATGACGGATGTGTTTCCGCGGCTGAGCTGATCAGCCCACACGTTGCGCTCGCCTGGGATGTGCGAGGCTAGTACTGACCATTTGCGCTTGTAGGCCCATGCGGCGACCAATTGCACAAAGAATTGCAAAGGCCATGCTGTGGTGAACAGCTTGTTCACTCCGGCTTCTGATGCGGTGTTGTCTGCCCTCGGCGGTCCAAGCGATTCGCACGAGCGCGAGCTGGGCCAAGGTTTCGAAGCACGCTATGTAGCGCTGGGCCTCCTTGGTGAGGCAAGACCACTGCTGCTGGACTTCCTGCAAGTCCCATGTTTCTGCGAACCATGAGACGGAGCGGCTGGTTATGAAGCGGCTGGATATGAACCAGCCGCCTATTCCGACTTTGGTGCCTTCGGCACAAGCATCGGCGGCTGCTTCGCAGCGGGCATGCCAAGTCTGCCTGAAAACATTGAAGGAGCCACTTGATGTTAGCCCTGCTTGCTGCGGACAAGCGAGTGTGCTCGGCAGCGGGGTCGGCTACGCGCACCCATGCCGGCTTGTGACTGGGCACGACGCGAGGCAAGTCGGAGGGGCTGCGTACTGGGGTTTGCTGGTATTCTAATACCCTGGAGCCGAGCGGCATAAAGATGCCGCGCACGGGCGAGGCTAGTACGGCTTTGGCGTTTAGCGCCGAAAGGAATGCAGGCCACAGGCGTGCGTTCACGGAGATCATGCATCCCGGCGGCGAGTGCAGATCTGCATATAAGGGCGCAAGCCAAGATCGCAATTCCAGACTTAGGGTGGCCCAGATGAGCAGCCCCAGGACTTGCTCCAAAAGCTTTCTTTTGATTCATTTGGATCGGAGCAATGCGAACAGCTGCTCTTTCAGCTTCAGGGTTTTGAGTGGAGTGAGTTCAATTGTTTCCAGGCTGAAGTTGATTGACCATCCGCACCAAGTCAGGCAGTTTTGCTGGACATCGTGTCGAAATTTAAGCCCACGATCCACTGCAATGCCTGTATTCCAATGTCACCCAGCCTGTTCGATGGACATCTCTCACCCATTGGAAATTTCTTTATCCAAAGGGGCAGACACGGTGTCGGGCTCTGCCCATGTGTTCTGTGAGTTTGTGAGGCAGGTCTGCGTGCTCTTTGAGCGGCCACTGCATGCAACGGGGCAATTCGGATAGGGCTCCTGTGACCACACCTTCGGAGAGCAAGGGAAGGAGTTTGATGTCCGGGTCATCCGACGCGGTGGCCAGTGCATGCAACAGGGACAGCCGGTACGGCTGGCCGTTGTCGGGAGCCAGACTGGTTGGGGCGGGCAGGTTTCCTGCCTCAAAAGCAATCAGCGCTGCCTCTTCGGACTCCTGGGCCGACAAGGG